TTAAACAGTGTGTCCTTACATTCTCAAAGTCTAGTGTCCATTTAGCTTCATAGCCATCAATACAGCCTGTGGGAAGCATGTGGCTGAAGTCTTATGTAAGTGAAAAACCACACCTGTCACTGATGATGTTTTTCTGTGTTTGCGGGGTAAGCACTGAAGTGATGCTGCTTACAAAGGACTGTACCAGTGAGGGACACAGGCTTTGACCTTGTCACTTGCTCATAGACACTGTGCTCATGCAGTCTCTTATTTTCAAGTCACAGGGACTCTAATGGCATGATGGTCTGGTTGCAAAGAGCAGGTGGCAGGATGGAGGCTGAGTGCGGGATTAGAGATGCAAGGACCTGTTATTGTCTGACAGAGAAGTTCCTTAGTTTGTAACCAGACTCAGACTGGGACAGCTTTTTATATTGGCAGTCAAAGAGGACAGGGCTTTATGTAATTGTAAAATACACACATAGAACAGAGTGAAATAAGTGGCTGTGGGCTTCTGGGAGTGTTTCTTGACACATGAGGAAGGATAGGGTGTGGGGCAACTTCATTGACTTTAGTGAGAGTGGAGGGTGCTCACCAGTTTGCCTTGCAAATTAGTTGTCACAGTTCCAAGGGCAGCCATGCAGTGGTTGGAAACTGCCCTCTCCAGCTGGTAAATGGCTTTACTGATGAAACCAGGTGGCCACACTGAAATAAATCATAAGTTTAATTTTCAGGCTAAACTGCATGTGCGCACTCTAGGGTTTGTCTGATTGTAGGCTGCAGCATGGCGTAGAGATGTGTGAGCTAGTGTTACACAGCCTAGCTTGGGTACTAGAAACTACCTAGCTGTGAAACTTGGAGCTCAGAGCAAGGTAATTTATCCTGCTTCTTAGTACATGAGCCTACGTAGAACTCCTTGCTGCTCCAGCTAGATGGCTTCTGGTACCCAGGTTAACATAGGCATTTCTTCATCATGTGACGGTCTGGACTGCCACCTGGCAAAGTCCCTGCTTTCCTGAACCTACACTTGTACGGTTTGATACCACTGTTCAGAGCTGTACTGGAGAACAGCAAATTCCTTTGGGTGTAGGTTACTGATGCTCTGCTTTCAGTTTGTTTCTCTTCCTTATGTAGGGTTGGGTGCACTTTCCTCCTACTTGGCTGTATCACCAGCCTCTGCAGAAGTACTCACCTGCTCACTGCGGATCTTTTGAGGAGGGATATGAGGAAGTTAGATAGGCATCTAGCTGGGGTCATCTGAACCCGGTACACTTTCCTGCCTATGCAGGGGGTTGGACTCGATGATCTATTGAGGTCCCTCCCGACCCTAACATCTATGAATATATTGTATTCTTTGGATTTCATTAAGGGCTGACATTTAACAGGTATGGGGAAGATAATTGAAGTGGGACAGGAATACTGAGGATCTGAGAGATGTTTTGAGGAGCCATAAGGGAAAATAGTTATAATATTTTGGATAAAGGACACCTTGTTTTCAGTCTTGGTATATTCCAGCTATATCCAGATGCTCCTGCTTGCAGCATTAATGGGTGCCCTGAAAAATTGCTTCTTGACCTGGAACACAGAAATGAAGGCAATTTTTGTTAGGCGGTAAGCAGCTTGCCCTCTCTCAGAGGTGAAACTTTAGCTAGAGACAGCTTCCAGTACATGAGCTGCAACGCTGAGCATCCAGTACTGAGCAGTAACTCGCTTTGAATTCTGTCTTCTTTATGCGTCTCCATCCTAGGGCCATAATTCCTATATATGCTCTGCCAAATGCAGATGATCAATATGGTTCTTTTCATAGGTAAATGATATTGTTTTAGCAGCTCTGAGCAGTTATAAAGACTCATGAAATGTTTGACAGAAACAAATTGGTCTAACCTGTTTCCATTTCTATTTTACTCTCTAATCCTTAACACCAGGGTTTAATGTATCAAGATTCATCGCGATGGGGGATTACGTTACAGACATACGTACAACTTACCATGCTGGAGCACCATACCAGACCAATGGTAAATTTCTGATTCTTTTTTCCTTATACCCAGAAACAGATATGAAGATATGTTTTTTGATCAAAGATACTTTGACCTGCAGCCAACAGATAAAGATGCTAGGAAGGTGTGACTTTGTCTTCATTCTTGAGACTAGTGAGAATTTCCATAGAACACTGCTGTTTTAAAAGGCTACTAATCTCAGTATCTTTCCTCTGAAGCTTGCCTTAAACTACTATTCAGGAATCACTTACCATTTTTATTAGCAAATCAAAGATTCTCCCTCCACTACATCACACTAAGTACCCTCAAAGCTACACTAAACACACCATTAATGGGGTCAGCCCAAGTCTTTAAGACAGAACATGTTTCAGTACAAAACCTGAAGAAATGTCACTTACAAGACAGAAAGGAAAAAAACTAATGAAGGCTCAAGCCTCCACCTTATATATCTATGCCAGAAGAGTAACAATTAGTTATAGAAGGCAACAACTGTATGTGGCACTTAAACAAAGAAGGAGCCCTGCTCAAAAGCAAATTCAGACAAATTCAGATGCCACAACAAACATTTCAGGTAGAAGAGTGACCTGAGACAGTATCAAGTGGCCAGAGAATGAGAAATCCAGGTCAATGAGGTCTCAAGCCAGGACAAGAACTCCTTCCACATGGCATTCGTACTGCAGGTTGGCCACCCCTGTTGTAGACCAACAGTAAAATACTTGAACTTGGCCATCATCTGATATATGTGCCGGGAGGCTTTTCCTCATCTTGAACTGCTTTAAGGAGGCCTGCAAAGTGCTGTTGTTTGTGCTAAAGTTGAGGAAATGCATACAGCTGCCATCTGTGGAAGTTGCAATGGGGTGCCATGAAACCAAAGGCCACCCTCTCTACACCTATACCCATTTAATGTGTACAACCATTCCTG